TTATATCTCGGGTTCTGCTGATCATAGAGATTTCATCTTAACGTAATTTTAAAGCTAAGAAACGGGCTTAACATTTCTTTACATAAGATGGTCAACATTGTCCTAAAGCTAACTTAGCTATTAACAGTTGAACTTTTTGAAGTTGATTTGCATAATGAAGACCAGTAAATTAGGGATTTAGAATTATACCAAAGTAATCCTTGTTCAATTCTCTATAAAAAACGTGTTTAAAAAAAATGGCGTTTTTGAGGAACTATTTTTAAAATATGTTTCTTTATGACGAGATGGTTTATCTTATGAGAATCAACAATTTATTTATTTTATTTTATTTTTTTTTTTGTAATATAGTCACGCCCATTTCTATAATATTCCGAAATCCGCAATAAAATCTGCGTTTTGCTTTAGTCGTACAATTCCACGCCTATTTCAAGGGGTTTGTCGCCTGTCTACAAGAAAAAAATTATTAAAAACCAACGCGATTCTTTAGCAACTTATAACTTGCACATTATTACAATTGGAACTTAATAGGCTATCAAGCTAAATACTCAAAACATTCTTAAAAATCTGAATAAAAAGTGGAAAATCTAGCTGATACTTTGCAGATTTTTTTATAATTTTTGCACAAAGTTTGAAATGTGGATTTATATTTAGTTTGTTATTTAATGATCTAGGCTTTTTATGGAAAAATAATAAACATTAGTTAAACAAAAGAAAAACAGCCACAATCGATCAAAATGTTGATGACTGAGTCAGCTGATCACAAGTGGCTTCTCTCTCTCTCTATCAACAGTTAATTTGATATGCTGCTACGTCATTGACTAACTGGGCTTTAACGCAGTTGCCGTCGAAAGTAAACCTACTCGCTACTTTTCTGTTGCGTTCATGCGCTAACATTTGAAATTACATTTGTGGATATGCTTATCAGCTGTTTTTTGTTTACAAAACAATGAGCGGCATAACGCAAGGTGTGTAACAGCAAATTTTTCAACGTCGGCAACGCACCAACGGACCAACGCAACGCCGCAGGAAATAAAATCATGTACCTTCAGCTTTACTTAACACATACAGTAATTTGACATAATAATTACATACCTGATATACTTGTTAGAGAATCACTGACATAACTTGGTAGCTGATCCCCTTCAAACCACTTGAAATAATATTGGTAATTTTCCAGTACCCAACCATTATCTTCTGCTTTATATCGACTACTGAATGGAAGATCGACCTATCTCGGTAGCCAGTTCGAAAACGCCCTATCTAAAAAAACCCCTATATAAAAATTTGGTGGAAGGACGCCGCATTTTAGGATTCGGTTCAAAAACGCCCTATATCAGCTGCCGATCAAAGACGCCCTATCTCAGCACATTCTCCATCAAATTTTGCAAATATGGCGTTATTGAAAAGTTTTTTTAAGATAGGGCGTTTTCGAACTGGCTACCGAGATAAGTCTATCTTCCACTCAGCAGTCGATATGTGGTTGGATTTTTGAGATGAGCATTGTTCCATACAGCGCATAAATAATATATATATAAATATATATATATATACAGTGGCGGGCAAAAATGGATGAATGGTGTTTCGTTTTTAATATTTACAACATTTTTCAAGCTAAAATTTTTTTGATATTTTTTTATAAAAATAAACAAAACAAAATTATTAAAAATCAATGTGATTTTTTAGCCGCTCAAAACTTGCACTTATTTTACTAGAATTTTATAAGCTTGTTAACTGCCTACCCAAATTCTAAAAATTCTGGTTAAAAAGCACGAAATTTAGATAAAAATTTATGGAATTTTTCTAAGTTCTGTATAAAGTTTGAAAATCTGATTTATATAGTTTTTATTAAACCATAAACCATATTTTTATAAAAAAATATCAAAAAAAATTTCTGAAAACTTGGTTCAAAAGCTCGAAATTTAGATAAAAATTTGTGGAATTTTTCTAAGTTCTGTATAAAGTTTGAAAGTGTGATTTATATAGTTTTTGATAAAGCATGAACCATATTTTTATAAAAAAAAATTTAGCTTGAAAAATATTGTAAATATTAAAAACGAAACACCATTCATCCATTTTTGCCCGCCGCTGTATACAGATTTTTAGTCTAAGTTTGCATTTATAGTTCTTATCAAATTTTACAAAAAAATAGGTTTTGTGGCATAGCGAATAGCATTGGCATTAACAAATTTTTGTAAGAAATTGGAATTCAGCTTGTAAAGGCCGCCGATTCCGGTAAGGAACTAATGAACGTATAATTTTTATCAGTTTCTGTATACTCCCACCTTCGGCCTTTAATGTGTCTGGCAAGATGAAAGAGCTATCGAAACGGTCTGGAAAGTGAGGAAACATCTTTTGATAGTTCCCCAAGTGACATATATAAAATCAGTTTTTATACTATGACTAAAGTATAACTACAATTTATCATGGTTTAAGGGTGTCTGGCAAGGGGTAGGAACCATGCTAAGTCTCTGGCAATGAACGACGTAGTTTCTAATATTATTACGAATAAAATATATAAAAACTTACCTTTATACTATAACGAATTTGAGGTGCTCTTTTATACACCTTTACTAACTGCTACCTGCCAAAGCCACCACTATCCAAATTTCATAGTCTGAGTTCGTTATTACCTATGCTGGGGGCATACATAGAGAAGCTTTCAGCCTTTATAAAATAACGAGGGTCTGGCCGTCGCGGGCTCTTGTTCTATTATGAAACTTAGTATTCAGGCGTTTTCGGAGTCACTGATTACGAAGTTTATGAATATTGTTTTCAAATTTCAAAAAGGCGGATCCAATATGGATGAGGAATTTTTTCCAATTACGGATTGTAATAATAAGACTTGGTATGCAAAGGTTTGCGGTGTTACAAGCTGGCTAGTTACCATGACAGAAGTTGGCATTTCATTATTATTAATAAATAGTAGTTGGGTTAGTATGGATATCTAGTAAGCCGTCAGTTAAGTAATTGTAATGTTTAATAAAATACTAGTTTTTATTTAAAAGGTGCTGAAATTTGTATATTAGCTTGAGTTGCAAAAGAAGTTCCGCATTTGAATTTATAAAATTTAATATCGATTTCAAATCAGTGACGACGAAATTCCCTGGATACAAGTTTTATATCAATATGTAATTTTTGTAAAGTCGTCCTCCATATACCATTTTGATTCATATCATATTCGTTATCAGTCACCTCGAAAATACCTGTATACCAAGCTTCATTGCAACCTATATTTTTTTTTTTTTAATCGTCCGACACATTGAATCCGCCATTTTGAATTTTTAAAATTGATTATCAGTTTTGAAATCAGTGGCGACGAAATCCCCCGGATACCAAGTTTCATAGCAATCTATCAATTTTTTAGAAGTCGTCCGCCGTATTGGGTCCGCCATTTTGAATTTCGAAAATTTATTTGGATAAGCGATGAAATCTGTCAAACACATATGAAGTAAACATTTTTGTCGTCATATACTCGATTCGTCCCTATGTGCGACGCTGTTATTATTTTCTTCCATACAGGTGGTGTAGGACTGTATACTAGATTTTTTATTAAAACGATTAAGCAAATTTGTTAAAAAATTTAATTTTTATCGAAGGATTTAAACGGAGAATCTATTGTTGGTTCTTTGGAAACAGGTTTGTTCTGGGGTGTTACACTTGAATACTTTCGCATTTATTTTAAATATCTTAATTTAGTCAAGAAAAACAAATAATAGCATCATTCGAGCATTTAAGTATTTACATAAATGTATTTTTATATTGTCAAAATTTAAAAAGTATTGTGCGTTCTTATGACACCTCAGGCATACATAAATACTAAAGGTCCACAAAGAATCTTGGAAAGAAGATTTTTCAAACTTTCCAAGCTATCTATATATATGGGGCGATTCACGTCAAATGTGCCAAGCGCGCTAAGCGGTGCAAAACAAGCTGCTTTTCGAATAGCTGGAAAGCAGACAAAAACCGAGAAAAATAATTCGAAAAGCGTTTTACAACGCGCTATACAAGTTGGCGGCGTTGCCTCGCGTCATTTCGGCTCCGCTTGCTTGCGCGAATTTACACATCAATCTGTGATAGCAAATTTTAACGAAATTGTCATTTAAACCCGCTATATCTCATTTGTGTATCGATCGATTAGAAATTTTCACACAATAAACTACAAATTATTCCAAAGAATTTAAGTTTAACATCACTTCTAAATACTCAGTACACACAAGACTACGGGTTTTTATACTTTTTTATGAGAATTGAGAGGATGGTTTTTTTTCAAAGTATCATAAATAACTATCTAGGGAAGTTTATGCAAAAGTTTCAGAATTAAACATCAAGTAGTTGCAAAGTTATAACAACATTATTATGACCCGCACGTTTAGCAAAAAGTCCCTTTTTTATTAATGATTTCTATGTAAATAAAAAAATATAGTTAAAAAAACTAAAACCTCCCTGCTATAATTGCCATTCGTACTGTCATCAGGTATGTAACTTGAGAATAGAAATCGTTGCATCTTTTAGGCGCATCAATATTACATAGTTACATCCCGAGCTAATAAAAGGAAGGTAAAAAAAGACCTATCTTTCGATTGCAATAACCTAAAACAATATTAAAAATGACCATAACTGAGAAAAATTACAAACAAATTTTCGTTCAGAATTTTCACCATGAAATTGGGAACCATCGTATAGCCCTTACAAAAATCTATAGAAATCTTAGTTTTTGAATTATTTTTCCCATTTTTTGCCTGCTTCCCTGCTAGTCGAAAAGTAGCTGGTTTTGCACCGCTTAGCGCGCTTGGGACATTTGATGTGAATTGCCTCATATATGTTCATAAGTACTTATTTTTAAGTTCTAACCCGTATTTTATACAGTTGGTATTATAATATTGGCTAAGTAAGAGATTAATTAGATTAGATTTTTATATTTACACATAAATGAGTAGATACAGTATCGGTCATATCTATAGCACGCGATTTCAAAGTGATATTGTGTGCCACTTTATTTTTAAAAATTTTCAATTAAAATACAGTTCATTCTCAGACAAACCGCATTTAAACACAAGTGTAACAATTTGTAGAAAACTACAAAAAAGTGCAACAAATTTTCACCTAAATTTCAAACTTTTTTCTCGGAGGTGTAAGAATTTTTGTGAGTACACAGTTTTTTAGCCCCTTCAATTTTAGTCTGATAATGTGCAAGTTTCAAGTGGCTAAAAGTTACCGTTGATTTTTTAGAATTTCTTTCGCCAAAGGTGTTGCGGATTTCTTCCATATACAAATAAATTGAGTTTATTCATTATATGGAAGCCAATGCGACAAAAAAAATTCTAAAAAATAAACGGTAATTCGTAGCTACTTCAAATTTGCACATTATCAGACTAAAATTGAAGGGGCTAAAAAACTGTGTACTCAAAAAAATTCTAACACTTCCGAGAAAAAAAGTTTGAAATTTATGTGAAAATTTGTTTCACTTTTTTGTAGCGTTCTACAAATTATTAAGTTTGGGTTTGTATCGGGTGTGTCTGAGATCGAACTATATTTTAATTGAAAATTCTTAAAAATTAATAAATAAACATAAGTGGCACACAATATCACTTTGAAATGGCGTGCTATAGATATGACCGATACTGTATGCAACTGTAAAATATTCATATCAACTTTTTTAACTTACACTATGACTGATTTACAGCAGGAAATTTTATTTCAAAGTAGCTTTAAGGTATTTCTTATACATATTAGGCTCCAAAATGGCAAGATAAGACTTATTTTCAGACTACAAGTTTTTTGGTTCCTGTTGAGAAAACATGTCCAATGCAGTATTATTGACGTTACCAAAGTTCCATTTCATATAAGGGTTTTCCGAATCGCATCGGTTAACGTAAATAGTTCTCTTGCTTGGCTGAGCTTCCAAGCAACGACTACTGTCTTTCCCCGCCACGAGCCATTTCTTATGGCGGTCATAAAACCAGAATTGATTTCCACCCTGACCGTGGCAATCCCACAGCCATACAGGTGCATTCGGTGGCTGTTGTTGTACGTCTAAGCAATCCATTTTGCGACGTAATCGCAAGTCTTTATGCCAGCTTAAAGCCCAATTTTGATTTCTTTGTGGCTGTTTAAGATTAGGTGCACAAGGATAAAGTCCAATTTTTGAATGTCTTGGTTTGCCTAACGTGTCAATACAGAGTGTCGGCTCTCCCTCGCTTTGTATGGCACCATACGCGTAGTCAGATGGCTCTACTGGCGGATACTTCTTAGTCAGGTCAAATGCTACGTTCTCCATAAACCATTTAAAAGATTTACAGTTTAATTTTTCGCGAATAGCTTTCTGCTTGGTTAAATCACCAGGATCAATGCCCTCATACACTCCCTGTCCGTGTTCATATAGGTATGCTTTGTACTCGTCCATCCAGACCTCTGCCACACGTTTGTAGTTCTAAGAAAAAATAAAAGTGAATAAAATTCAAATGGGTTCCAATAAACTTACTTTATGTAGATAATCCCCATTTCGGGGGCTAGGCTTTGAATTTCGTGGGCCTCTGTAGATATGTCCAACTCTCGAGCAAGGCGCATCCACAAGCTCTCCACC